CGGTTGGCTTTCTGGGCTGCAAGCGCACATTGCCGGCTCATGTTGAGCTTCTCATCCACCAGTACCCCCAAGTCCTTCTCCTCAGGGCAGCTCTCGAGCCACTCTCCGCCCAGCCTGTTCTTGTGTTTGGGATTGCCCCAACCCACATGCAGGACCTTGCACAAGTGAAGAAGGAGAACGACATCACATTATTTGTCTTGATTTAAAGATTTTAAGTGCCTTTTTCAATCTAGTAGTGTAAGCCTTTACGTGCATCGAGGTGTACCCTCCTTGGCTCTCTCACGCCGCTCAGGATTCACGGATTCCCTCCTGCCACTGTTTTAACTCCGTACTGTTGTCTGTGTGATCCCCCATCCCTTCAGTGTTCCTGACCTTGAAACTTTTCAAGATCTGGGGGAATTTCAGCTTCACCTTGTCTTGGCAATTCTGCGCATTTCTTTCAGGCATTTCTCTTGCCACTGGTAAGCCAGGAATCCCAGCTAGCCATTGCCTGCACTGAAAGTACATTTACGAGCTAGCAGAGACGTGTTGCATACCTGGAGCTAGCTACTTTCCCAAGGGTTTCATAAAGAAAAAACTTCTGTCTTAAACTAACAACCCAAAAAATCCAGAAAATAGTAAGAAATTGCTCTGCTCATTGGACAGATGCCCTCCATTTCCAAAAGTGACCTTCCTGTCGTGAGGGGGAGCAATTGATTACCATGTAAGTGACATTCAGTACACTTCTTACAAAGAAAGCCTAAAAAGGTTGTTTTCATTGTTTCTTCTCCTGGCTACTGGGAGACAAACAGCAGCACTTCATAGCTTAACACTGGTCTCAGCTCATTCCTGAACCCTGATCCTCTCCAACAGCACCCACACCACCACAGCTACGCCTTGCCAAAGCCTTGGCCAGTGCCTGAGGGACAGAGCCAGCCACTGGGGGCTCTTCTATGGTGGTGGAATTACAGGTAAGAAGAGTTCAGGGCCCAAAAGCAGCAAACGTCTAACTCCGGCCTTGTTCTCTAAAGACCTGTTTATGCGTAAGAAAATAGCCAGTGGAATTTTGGTATGCCGGAGGTGCTAGTTAGAAGGAAGTTATTAAACACCAGAGTGTCTGCAGAAATAGTTAAAGTTCCCTCGTTTCCCGTATTCTCTCAACAGCTTCCTCACTTCAAAAAAAAAAAAAAAAAAAAAAAAAAAAAAGAACAAAAGAAGTTCACGTGCAGACTTTTTCTTTAAGACTCACCCACCTAGCTCTCCATGGAGCATCTCAGTGGTTTCCAGTAGCAACACGAGGGAACCTTGACATATAAAAATTGGACGGATGTGAATAAAATCCTTGTTGGGTTTCTGATGTAACAGCAGTGGTCATGCTTAAGTACTTGTCAGTTACCTTAACATCTAAATTATTTTTATTGCTCAGTGTTTTACACAGGGTGTATTTAGGGAGTAATGCAAATACTAGGGGAACATTTTAAAGCCCACTAACTGTAGTTTTTCCAGAGCAATTCAGCACAATTTTTTGTGTGTTTCCTGCTTACTGAAGCCCTTGAGATGGCTTGTTCTGAAAAACAGATGAGAAAAGAGGTTTCCACTCCCAAGTCAAACAATGATGTGTGAAAAAAAAAATAACAAAATAAAGTATTTCATTTTTAGTACTTCCTAAAAAAGTATTACATGTACACCACCTGGGAAGTCTGACCGTCAACCTCCTCCCACCTTCCAAAGGAGGAGAAAGAACTAGCCCAAGGGCAAACAGTCTCCTTGGGTGGCTTTGCAACAAATCATATCTTGCAAAATCTTTGCAGCAAATCACATTTCTCCAGTGTTGTGTTATGTTGTGTTATGCATTGTGTATCTTCAGGGGCTCAGACAGAACTGACTTGCCAGCCTACCATTTTGTTTAGGAGCATCAAGAAAGAAACATGAACCTCTTTGAAGGACGTAATGACTACAGTTTGCCTATTGCTTTTTTTAATACGACTCTTAAGAGAATGAAATCAGAAATCCACAGAGCAATTTGCTATGCAGTAAAGACTTATTCCATGAAAAGTCTGTGGGCAACACTTCCTAGCCATTTTTTAGTTTAAGTCTCGGGTGCTATTGAAATGCCTGAGAGATCAGGAAGTATCCACTGAAGAAAAATGCTTGCACAGATGTTTTGCAAGTTCATTACCAATTCTCATCTATGGTGGCTGCACTTACCCCTGCTTTATCAGTCCAATGAAGATTTATACTGGGAATAATTTACACTGCTAGAGAAGTGTGAGACACTTCAAAGTCGGAGACTATATCAGTGGTTTAGACTATCACTACTTTTTCCTATTTATTTGACGTAGATCATGAAGTTGATGAGTTTCTGTGGTTAATTAGTGTTTTGTGTGAACTGTGTATGGTTTTATCAATGTTTCTTGTAATTTGTACCAAACGAGGAAGAAGAGATAAAACAGGCATTTCTAGCTGTTTAAGACTGCGTTTAATAGAAATAGGAAGAAGAAAGAAAATTGATATTGTTACATGTAGGAAGAGAAGTTGCTGCCTAAAAAATCACAAACTCTACCAGTGATATTTTGTATCATGTAGCTTTAATAGCTCCGTTTAGTCTGAGTCTGAACTGGCTAGAATGATCTCTTATTCTTTATATTATAAATCTTTTATGTTTTTAAAAACGGTGATACAAAAGAGAGAAAGCCAGGCATACTTTCTTATCTCTGATTTCTCTGTACTGGTACAGTTAAAAGGAAAGCTGATCACCCTTCTTCTCTAGGTCTTCAATAACGCTGATCTGGCATCTTATCCCAGGAAAAGATGTGTAGGCATTTGCCACAGTCTCCTACTTTGTTATTTGACCAGACAGCAAAATAATTCTGTTTCCATAACTGACTCGACCATGCCACAATCTCCCTATTCTAGATTTTGCCCTCATCTGTGGTGATCTGGTGGCTGATGATGGGAACATGAGTGAGCAGTGGTGCATCGCCTCCTGAGCTCTGTTCTCCACGGGGAGTCTTCCCTGTGGTTTCCTTCATTAGCCCTTTTCAAATTCATCTTGTGTGATGCTGTGCTAGTGCTAGATCCCACCTAAAGCCAGTGCCATGCCAATTCATGCTTACTGTGGTCTGCCTTTAATAACACGTTGCTTCTATAAGTAGCGCCTTTAACCCTCAAAGAGGCTCACAAACAATGTATTTATACTCGCAGTTAACCACAGATGTCTGGGTAGATAGCCAGGAAGCTTACCTTGAACTGTACTTAGAAGAAATGTTGTCAAGGTGAAAGGGTTGGGGTTTTTTTTCTTTGTCGTGGGGCCATCCAGGAAATGAGTGAACTGAGCTGTGCAGCCCAGCCAAAACCAAAAACACATAGTGCAGGAAAATAAAGTTCCACTGGGTTCATTCTTCGTTTGCATAACATTTCTTGGTTGGGCTCATGTAAAGCGGTAAATTATGCAGTTCACTGGCTTTCCTCTCTTCGTTTCTCTTTGCTTCCATTTGTGGTGTTTTGATAAAGCCACTTGTCTTCCCTTTTGAATCACCAACCGTTTCCCAATTTGTCATCTAAAATTTTTCCCTTGGCAGTGCCACATGGTCTTCCTATGTCCTCTGAAGCTTCAGAGGCAGAGGACAAAAACTCAGGGAATATCTCCTTAAGTGGGAAAACAGAGTTTTGTTTTCAGCCTTGTTTTTTTCCTGCTACTGTGTATTTGTTTAGCAGTGCTTTAGATGCCTGCAACAAGTGAGCTAGTCCATATTTTCAAGCAGTTTCCAAGGTGTACTTGCAAATTTGAGGTTCCCTTTGGTCTGTAATGACCCTAGATAGGATAAGTAGCAAATGAGGGACTCTTCTGTTCATTTGCACGTTGCTTAACCTTGCATTTAACCAAGTAATCCTTGTCTTCGGAAAGCTGGCAATCTTAGGAGGCTCCTGTGCGAAGAAGTGTAAGATCAATTGCTGGTGCCTGTTTTCTTCCTTGAATTCCAGGCCTTGAGTTTGTCTAAAGAGAAAGCAGAAGGGTGACATTTGTGCCATTTTGCCTTGGGAACAAAAGAAAACAGAAGTATTTGGCTCCCTGAAAGACATCTGCTGTGTATGAGCAGCCTGTTCAGCCTGGCATGTGAGGGTAGTACCATGGCTGTCTCCACAGTAGTGATGACTTGTGCCACAAGGAAGGCAGCACGGGCATAAGAGCTGCAGTTCTGATTGAGCCTTACATAGGCAGTGTGTAGAAGCAGCTCAGCTGTATCGTGGTCTGGCATGGCATGGCCATGTGTGATCTTGGCAAAGCCCAGCCCAAATAAAAGTCTACCAGTACCAAAGTCTAAGCATAGTAGAGGTGTTTTAAAAGTACTAAACCAACAGTTGCTCATTGATCAAAGTAAACAAATTCAGAAGCAGCCAAGGTAGCTAAGTAACAAGTCTTCATTACAGTTCTTTTTATCCAAGTATTTTATTTTTGTAGTTCATTTTTATAGTTTGTTTTAGTTCATAGTGCAATAGTTCATTTTTATAGTTCATTTTATCCAAATGAACTAACTGTAAGGAAAGGTAAGGTGAACCATTCGGACACTGGAAGGGATCTTCCCCGGGGAGCTGCGTTAGTCTCATGTCGGGTTGTCCTCCGGGATAGGTTGGTTCTGTAACACCTTGCGTGTTGCACACTTCCTTTACCTTATGTCTGCCTTGTGACAGTGCTTTGCTAAGCAGCATTTGCCGTCTGTGGCTCCAGATGGTTGCAACCAGCTAGGCTGATCCCATTCCATCCATTGGCTGACTTTGGTTAAGGGACAGATGGCACGTGCCCTCTTTTCTTATCTTTACCTCCTTGGCAAAGTCTATTGTTTTATTCTGCTCCACACAAAAATCATGGGTCAAAACATGCCAGCTGTATTCAGTGTAATAAGGTTCAACCTAATCCTTGGTGATTTTTCTTGCTGTAAGACTTCCTTGGAAAAAAGCATTATCAGTCTTGGTCTTCATGCACCTGAAAATATTTTTTTATATCTCAGTTGGTCTTAGCAGGTTCTCAGAGACCCACTGTGATAATACATGACTTCTAGGAAGCCTACAGAGAAGAGGATACTTTGCTTCCATTTTCCCTGCTGTTCAGCTATTCATATCTTGGCACTTACATGTCAGCAGGTGCGTAAAGAGCTAGGCTGTGCCAATGCCAAGATTGGCCCAGAAGAGAGACTTCTTGTGGGGTACTTCACACTAGCAATATTTTTCGGGCTGTCCATCATAGTCTTTTTTTTTTTTCCCTGGCCTCTGTGCACTAGTCAAATAGTCCAAGCTTATTCTGAGCAGGCACTGATAGCTATTGTAACAGATGGACAAGTGTGTTGGAAACCAAGAAACTATGTACTGTATGCACACTGAGAGAACAGTGTACTGGTTCAGGTCATTCACATAACTGTCTGCCCAAAGTCTGCGTGTCTGTGGTTAGAACAAGGTGCCATTGATAGTCTGCAACCTCAATTTTAACTTTCCAAAGTCAGAAGCATATGAAACAATTTATGCCTACACTATCACACACACTAGTCATTTGCTGACCCTGCTGTGATCACCCCGTATTTCTTGCACTTTCTTTTACTGAGCACCCAAATTAGCTGTAAGATCATGGGCCACATCGGTTTGGATGCAACTGAATACTTCCCTGCTCATCTCAGTGAAAGTCCCATCTGTTGTCTCTCATAATTTAAACTTGGACTTGTCGCTACTGTGTAGAGATCCCCTGAAAATGGTCATTTAAAAGCTCCTGGCACAGGTATTGGGTTTTACTGCTGTAAACAATAAGGCTTTTATTACTAGAAAACTAGGACTCAAATTCAAGGTAAGAAAGCAATTATGTTTTATTTAGAAGATTACTTACTTTGTTCTTTCCCCAGCTAAGGTAAGCTAAAATTATTATTTCTGTAAATTTTGTGGTTTTATATTGTCTTTGCTTTTCAGACATCGGGATATCATTAAAGAATTGTGCACACTTTGGCAAAAATTTGTCTCAGTGCAAACTTTATCTGAGCCGTCTGTCCTCAGTGTAGAGGAAGTAATGGCCTTTCTCTGGGCTTCTGGTAAATAGTCTCTGACAAGAACGAAGCCAAATTTCATGTTGTCAGTAGCAAGATATTAGACCTCTTTTCTGTGGATCCCACTCCATGAATTGTGTGCAGAGTAGTTAAGGGGTTAAATATCTTTTTTTTAAACAATGCTGTTTTGGTGGCTGACATGAAGAAGTGCAAAGATGAGTTTATAGGCAATATATACTTTATATACTTCTTTATATACTTCTTTTCAGGAGTAAATGTTTCATATTGATATGTTCTATGATTTGCGAGTGATATTTTACTTGATTTTCCATTTGTTTTCTATCATATTAGTGGTGAAACTTATTTATGCGCCACATCTGCTATTAAAGTATAGTACTCAGTTGTAATTTGGCCACAGACATGTAAGTCAAAAAATGAGATTCTTCTGGGCTGAAAGTCAAAAAAAAAAAAGAAGAAGGAAAGTTAAAACTCACGCGAATGCAAAGAATAATCCAGATTCACATTGTTGATTAAAGCAGGATTTGGTCAAAGAACAATAATGTTTGCGTCTAGCCATAGATCATTTGCTGAATGCCCCATTTTGCTATATAAAATGTGTAGCTAATTGTTCAGAAGCATGTATTTTAAAATGTCTTGTCTTTTTTTTCTTCTTAGTTTGTTGTGACGATGTTTTGGAGCATCTATATCTATGACAGGGAACTGGTTTACCCAAAGCTGCTTGATAATTTCATACCAGCATGGCTAAATCATGGAATGGTGAGTAAAGTAATGCAAACACTTCCTCGCATAAACAAAAGTGTAAGACACTAATTTCCCTGTGCATGCCTCTGCATACACGTGGAGCTCATCCCCTCGGAAGTGATTGAGGAACATTGTTTGCAAGCAAGAATAACATCTTGCCTTCCTTGACTTCTTGAGTCATATTTGAATCCCTATTAGACTGAAACAGTGGAGTTCTGAACTTGGGTGTCCTACCTCCCACACTAGTTGTGGGGATCGGCTGTTCTCTGTGATAAGGTACCTTTCCCAGAGCAATGTCACCCTGAGCATGAGGAAATTTGATTAAAAGAGACTCTTCTACAGAGCAGAAATTCTGACTTTGACAAATCTTGCGCTAAAATGACAGAAACATTTCATTGAATGATTCTTTATCATTCTACCAAAGTATAATTTGTGATGAAAAAGTTTTGGTTATAGTGCTTGTTCAGAAAATCTCACTATGCTTTTTAGATTTGTACGTTTTTAGAAAAATAAAAAAAATAATTACCCATTTCTCAAGTACACCAAACTTGTGCAGCAGAACCTGTATCTGAGTATCTTCAAGAACATGGAATTATATACATCAACGCAAAGTTTCCAAATTGCTGCACTGGTAATCATAAAAGTAGTTTTCTGAGAAGAAATCTGACCTTTTCGTCCCACTCTGGTATGTCAGGTCTGACATTCTTTCTCTCATCTGTATGCTTAAATGCTAAGGGAAAGATAAGGACACACTGTGCCATCAGGTACATACTACTGCTTAGGCAGCATTTGAAGCTGAAAAGCATCATGTTTGCTTCTCTGCTTGCATCTGTGCAAAATGTTTCATTATCACTTTGTTTTCCATATCAAGGCATGGCAAACCATTTGGCACTTCTCAGGGTGTGGGTACTGTATCACCACAGTAGATCAAGATTTGTCCACTACTGCTGGGCCTGATAAATTGGTCCTTTGTGGGGTGGGGCAGATGGCAAAGCTATTTATTTCTTCCGGAAATTGTGTGTTAAAGAAGCAGCATGAGAGTTACTGCTGACAAGAGGAGCATCAGCTTCTTCTGGATACTGTACTGTTTTACGATGTTTTGAAAGGAATGGTGTGACAGTATGTGTGTGTAGAGCTGAGGAAAGAGTCTGATGACTCTGCTGTGTTTGTTCAGACTGTCCTCCTTTGAGTTTTGACATTACAAACTGAACACTTGCAGATGCTGCCAAGCCATACATACATTGATTTTTTTCCCCACACCACACCAGTGCCAGCTCTGATGACATTTCTTCCAGGTGACGTTCACCATACTGAAAGTGCTTAACCTATAACATTTTTCATGAACATATATTGTGAAGGAGTTGACAAAAAACAGCCCTATGAATTCAGGAAGTCTCTGTACCAGAACTAAAACACAGTTCAAGCTCATGTTGCTCTGTAGAAATGTGTATGTACTGAAATATTTGAAGATGGCTTTTGTTTGAGATTTTTGGACATAATAGAGTTTGCTGAAATGAATTGCGTGCAAGCCTCTTAGATTATTTTTTTCCAATTTGAAATATTGTAGAAGGCATTTTTGAAAGTCTTTTGTAAAGGAATTGTTTGCTGTGCCAGTCTCCATTTATCCAAGTGTTTCTTTAGCTTGGTCACAGAGAAAGCTTATGGCTGTTGGGCTTTTCACCACCTTTCAGTCTGATTCCTTCTGATGTTTTAGCCATCAGATTATCCTCACCAGCTTTCATAATAATTAATTCTGATGCATTTCCCATCGTAATATGAATGCTAGCACCTCACTTAGTAGTAGTTATAATTTTGACGTGGCAGATTTTAGAGAATATAATAGAAGTCTCCTTGGTGAAAGGGTTGGACCTCTGGAAATACAGTTTTAGAAAAACAGGGATCCCTAGCTATCATTTTCTACTGAAATAAACATTTATTCTCATCTTTTCCTGCACATTTTGACAGCAGCTGTGCACATTCAGTGATAATTTTTCTGAATGCAGGGGTGGCTATGCTGGAGCCTAACCTTGTACCACAAAACACACACACGAGATTCATCACCCTTGGCAGAGTGAAATCTGTCAGTGAGAAGTGGGTCCTGTTGCTACTGCAGCATTGCTGATGAGTCCCTCTTCTCTGTGAGCTTCCCTCACGGTGCCTAGTGCAGCTCCTAAGGATCTGAGCTCAAATGTTACTTCGCCTAGTGAACACTCTGTCCAGGTTTTTTCACAGCAGTTTCCCTAAACATGTGTTTATCACAAAAAAAGCCACAAAAAATGGAAAATGTAAAACCAGACATTTTCCACAGTAAAAAGATTCCCAGATTTAACTGAAAAGTCATATTTTCAAAAGTTTCTGACAGATGTTTTGTGACCAGCTGTAACAACTTGCTCAACTGTCAACATCAGCCTGCAAAATCCACACATAGAAAAGGAATGAAAAGTCATGAAATCTGGCTGTAAAAAAAGCAATCATATTTCCATCAGTAATATAGGCATGTATAAAAATATTTGAGAGTATTCATGCTTTAGAAACATTTTAAGGGGCGATCTGAAGGCTGTATGAGGAAATTGTTTGAGGGCATGGTCCAATTCGGTGCGTTAGCCCAAGCAGAAGTGGTTTGGGCAGTAGTGTCTGCTGCTTTGTTTTTATAATTATATATATTATAATTATATATATTATAATTATTTATAATACTTAGTTCTCATCTCCCTTTTTCTTCTCCCTCTTTACCATCCCTTCTCTGCAGTTACAATGCTGTCTATAATTAAAAAAACTATTTCCTTGAATACATAGTAATGTCTTGCTAATACTCGGAGATACCACTTTTTCATAGCAACACTTTTTCAACATTTAAAAAATTCCAAATTATAAAAGAAATTCCTCTCTGGAAATGGAAAACATAAAGGAAAAGGGAAATGAACCTCAGGGCTATGCAATCCCATTATCAATTCAGTCCTAATATTGTTTTGTAGAAACAGAGGGAGGCTTATCATTGTGCGCAAAGATAAAAGCCACGAATTTTTTACCATAAAATTGCGTATAGTGTCAAGAACTGTATTTCTGTTTTTTATATATATATATATACACACACACACACATGCCGTAACAGTTAAAAATATAATTTCTGTCTACAGAAAAATCTGTGTAGTAAAAGGGGCCTTGTGGTAGCAGATGGTACCTCGTACGTACGGATTCATACACCTGTGAAAGGCATCACTAATAGAGTTGTACTGTGCTGTAAAACTGATATATTTCATCATCTCAGTCAGTTGATTCACCCATAACCAATGGTGTCAATATGACTTAAGAAATGATCAGGGAAAATCAGTGGCAGTGTTGCTGTCCTTGCAGGACAAGGATTTCATCTCTGTTTATTATGTGAAGGAGCACATCTCAGTAGCTGAGGTTAAGCTTCTGTCAGTAGAAATAACTATCTGTCTAAAGAGAGCTGTTGGAGAACATTGCTATGTTTCAGCCTTGGTCTGTTTCTGAAGTGTCAAGTTCACTTTCTGTATTTATTAGTTATGCAGATAAATTCGTCTTTGCTGGCTGCAATTTTAGTTGCCAAATTACTGAAGTCTTCCATCAAAGATGTCATTCATGTTCCTGAGACTGTCCTGCACCTGAGATCTGTATCAACCCTTAATTACACTGTCTGTCTGATCTCTATCACTATTAGCATTTTTTAATTAAAGGCTAACCTTTCATGTTTAAAGCTGGGGTGTCATAGTTCTAGGATTTTTATCGGCTCATTCATTGCACCTTTTTGTGTTGGGACCGGATAGGATGATGCATGGATAAGATTTGTTTCCAGAAGATACATTCTCTTCATTATTAGCACAGACTATAAAACTAGAGGTTGCCCATATTCTAACTGATGCCCACATAAACAGATCTGTAGATTGAATTAATTTAAGCTTGAGCAGTGCTGATTTTGAGCCAGGTTACGTGGCAGGACTGCGTGCAGTATCTGTCCAAGTTAGCATACCATTTCAGCGAGAGTCCTTCTTTGTTTTTCACAAACACTGTCCCAAATTATTTTTAAAAACATGAATTTTGTTTGTGACAAGGAAAGTAAAATGCAGAGGTAGAAGGAGAGGTCAGGGAAGGGCAGAGGGAAATATGCTCTGCCTCTGCGGAGTTGGGAAATTGATTATTGTATGGGTTCTGTGCCACTGCAATCTATATGAGCTCTTCCAGTTGCATACGCTATTCTTTCTATGCTGCTTTGGGGAAACAAAGGCATTCCTAGAAAGACATAGCCTCTGTCCTTGTGTTCAAGAGAATGCACAAGAACTGGGGGAAATAGCAGACAAAGACAAGTTATGGAGAGGAAGGAGCCTGCCCAAGTGATATGTCTCTACTTACTTCACAAGTTGGCTCTCTTTTCTTCATGCTGGCTGCTCAGCTGAAAAGCTCAGCCCACCGGAGAGTGGTGCGGAGTCCCTCCGGCCATCTCTCTGATTGTTGTGCTTCCTGGCTGACTTGTCTTAGACCCAGTGGCCTTGGCTTATTTGTTCCTTTGTTTTGCTGGTGGAAAGCTTTTTTCCTTGATAATTTGACAAGGAGGAAAACAGAAAAGCCATACAAAGATGAAAATTCATGGTAACCTGACATATAAAGATTGGAAGGTCCAAAACTGGTGAGTTTTTCTACGAGCCCATCTCTCCATCATTAGTTGGGTCAGTTGCTGCACAGTGCTTGCTCTGATGTACAAACAAGGAGATGTCCTTTCTTTCAGCAAAGCATTTCCATCTAGCATGTTGCCCTAAAAATCCTTTCAGAAATGACTCATCTGAAACAGTGCATTGTACTTCTTGAGGGTGCTTTCCTAATACAGCAGCATCCTGTGTATGGGCTGGTTTTGTACAACCTTGGTAATGCCTCATGCTTATGTCTTAAAGATACTTACCCTCTTCTGAGATTTGTTTCTAAATCCAATTTAAGTCTTTCAAGGATATGCCAACTCAAGTGCTCTTCTTAATTTATCTATAATATTGTCGTAAGTTAGG